TATTTACATTTATGTTTCCTGATTAACCATATTATTTATTGGTGATCACTTCTTGAATAAATTACAATATAGAAAAAAGTCATCTGACTTCCAACTAAGCAAAAGATAACTGTAAAATGCAAAACTGAGAATGAGTGCAAAACTGTAACATTTGCCTTAACTTACATTTTTGTCTCCAGGTTTTTTTATTGTTGTTGGATTGACTTCAAATCGTTATGATAGCGGGAGTAGGGGTGTACCAATAAGAATATACAACAAAAGTATGAAAGTCGTTAGAACTTTGAAAGATAGCGGTGGCTGAAATAAAAAGTGTTACATCATGTTACAATTTTGCTCGTCACTGTATGTAAAGTAAAGAAGCCCCCGCTGCATCCCTTATTCGATAGTTCCGAAATTGTTCTAAATTCGACAAATAAGATCTAGTTCGTTCTGCATCCCTTTTTCTATAGTTCCGAACCATTTCTAAATTCGTCACTTTTGAAAAAAAAACTGAAAAAATTAGTATTTTAAAAGTACCAATTTTCGGACTAGTTCCTTTTTGGCGATAAAGACCTAGTACGGAACTCGAAATTTGATTCACTAGTCCGCGTTTTCCCTGCAGGGTATATACATATCGTCGCCTAGGTAAAAGATTGTCGTAACCCTGTAAAAATCGCGACTACTCCATGCATGCATGTAAAGGGCCATAAGGGCCAAGGAGTACTCCAAAATTAACCATAATTCATATAAAAAATATGGTGCAATTAACATTGCGATGTCCTAGGGCAGGACCATATACTCCATCTCTGCATTACATCAGAGTCGCACAAAACTACTCCAACATATTAACAATGACATTGTTGATATGCTTTTTCGTTTGTACAAGCTTTTGTTCTACATTTCACAGATGCTTTTTCGCAATTAATAAAAACCAAAAACAAAAATAAACAAGTAAGAGCAGCGCTGTCTTCGGCTACTTTGACAGATTACTGCTTTTGAATACATCTGCATACATCGATAGAGGAGTTACATACTTATATAAAAAATCGCATCTAAACAATCAGAGGTATGGAAGATATACTTTATATGGCACCAATCTAAGTGATTTTCACTGCAATGTGATCGGTATGTAAACCGGTAACACAATTTATTGGGTTTAGTTTCCTACATAAAGGAGATATATGGCAAAAACTGGTATCTGAACAATCAGTGCTATAGGAGATAAAGCTTATACAGCATAGATTTTGACGATTTTCTCAGTAGACCTTGTATTATTATTTATAAAATATATTACGAAATTTATCGGTTTTAGCTGTTCAAATAAAGGAGGTTTACAGTAAAATCCCATATCTGAACAATCAGATGTATGGAAGATATATATTGTAGTCATTCGATCCTTGTTATTTTCACTGTAAGTATTCTGTTAATAATGAGTGAAAATGGTGCGAAATTTCATGTTCCTAAATGGAGGAGTTATGATAAAAGACCTCATATCTGAACAAACAGTTGTGTGGGGGCTGCAGGTTATAGTGACCCGATCTTTGTTATTTTCACTGTAAGTCTTCTGTTGAAAATGTGTGAAATCAGCGCGAAATTTCATGGTCCTAGCTACATAAATGGATGAATTATAACGAAAAATCTCATATCTGAACAATCAGTTGTATGGGAGCTATAGGTTATAGTTACCCGATCTTTTTAATTTTCACTGTAAGTTTTCTGTTGATAATTATTGAAAACAGTGCGGAATTTCATGTTCCTAGCTATATAAATGGAGGAGTTATAACGAAAAATTTTATATCTGAACAATCAGTTGTATGGGAGCTATAGGTTATAGTGACCCGATCTTTGTAATTTTCACTGTAAGTATTCTGTTGATAATGGGTGCAAGTATTGCAAAATTTCATGTTCGTAGCTGCATAAATGGAGAAGTTATAACGAAAAATCTCATATCTGAACAATAAGTTGTATGGGAGCTATATGTTATAGTGGTCCGATTCTTCCGGTTCCGACAAATGATTAATACATTATAAAAATACACCCACCTACCAAATTTGATCCGGATATCTCGAAAACTGAGAGACTAGATTGCATACAAACAGACGGACAGACGGACAGACGGACATGGCTAAATCAACTCAGCTCGACGTTCTGATCATATAAGTATACATTTTAATGGGTCTATCTCTTTTTGTTCTGGTACTTACAAACATCGGACCAAAGTTATAATACCATTTCATGCTCATGAAAGGTATAAAAATTACATGTTGCCTCTGACGGCATTCGAACCCGAACATACTGGGAGCTAACAAGTAACAGCGAGTATCTCTACACGTTCAGCTACAGCTAGACATGCAAATGCGCTTTCAAATGCTCAACTTCAATCACATTTCGTTAAAATACGAGCAGTGATCGGGTAACAATAAACTGGTGCAGAGACACGAGTTGGTCCGCTACAGCATGACAGAGGAGCACTTTTGTAAGTACTCCAATATACCACAAATAGATCACATGGTCCAACGATTTTTGCAGGAAAGCGCAATTTTGACGATTTTTAGTTTTAGATGCAGTTATATATTTTGAAATAACGTCTTTCGATTGGTGTTATCAGTTTTTAGATATCTGATCTAGTTTTCGAGATATTGACTAAAATTTTTTCGATAATTTAGTAAAAATTTAGAGTAATGCAGTCATATTAAACTAGTCAATGTCTTAAAAAAGGCGTTCTCCGTTTTTGAATATCTCCTTTAGTTTCCGATATGTTGATAACATTTTGTCGTATTTCATACAAAGTGGTTGCCAAATTGTGGACAAATGACGCTTACGATAAGATTTTACTAAAGAAAATCCTTCATAAGCTCAAAACTAATTAACAATAAACATTAAAAATGAAATAATTTAAGAACTTTGTCAGCTAGTAACATTTTCAGAGACTTTGGAGAAAATCTATCTTCGTGTTTTTGAGAAATTGCATTCCAAACTTCAATCGCAATCAATTTAATCGAAATTAACATACGACAATCTTTTACCCAGGCGACGATATGTACAGAGCCAAACGGAACATTTTCTTTGCAGATCCTCCGCTGTATCGCTGCCTACATGCACACGAACATAGCAATGCTTTGAACGATATGAAACAAAAACAGAAACGAAAGCGAATAAATGGAGCAATTTTTCATTCTCTTATGTACCGCTGAGACGCTGCCTTTCGAAATGAACGTAGCAATGCTTTGCTCAACGTAAAAATTTTAAAATCTTTCGACGAAAATATTTCGAAAATGGTTCAATGAATGTTAAATCTGANGGCCAACAACTGTGCCAAGTTTGGAAGAAATTGGTGCAGCGGTTACCAAGATATACACATGTAACCATAAGTGGGCGTGGCTACGCCCATTTTCCAAAAATTTATAATATTCTTATTTTTCGTCAAGAACTTATTGTAAATATTTCAAGTGCGCTCGGGTATAAAAATTCTAAAATTAAACTNTGGTCCAACGATTTTTGCAGGAAAGCGCAATTTTGACGATTTTTAGTTTTAGATGCAGTTATATATTTTGAAATAACGTCTTTCGATTGGTGTTATCAGTTTTTAGATATCTGATCTAGTTTTCGAGATATTGACTAAAATTTTTTCGATAATTTAGTAAAAATTTAGAGTAATGCAGTCATATTAAACTAGTCAATGTCTTAAAAAAGGCGTTCTCCGTTTTTGAATATCTCCTTTAGTTTCCGATATGTTGATAACATTTTGTCGTATTTCATACAAAGTGGTTGCCAAATTGTGGACAAATGACGCTTACGATAAGATTTTACTAAAGAAAATCCTTCATAAGCTCAAAACTAATTAACAATAAACATTAAAAATGAAATAATTTAAGAACTTTGTCAGCTAGTAACATTTTCAGAGACTTTGGAGAAAATCTATCTTCGTGTTTTTGAGAAATTGCATTCCAAACTTCAATCGCAATCAATTTAATCGAAATTAACATACGACAATCTTTTACCCAGGCGACGATATGTACAGAGCCAAACGGAACATTTTCTTTGCAGATCCTCCGCTGTATCGCTGCCTACATGCACACGAACATAGCAATGCTTTGAACGATATGAAACAAAAACAGAAACGAAAGCGAATAAATGGAGCAATTTTTCATTCTCTTATGTACCGCTGAGACGCTGCCTTTCGAAATGAACGTAGCAATGCTTTGCTCAACGTAAAAATTTTAAAATCTTTCGACGAAAATATTTCGAAAATGGTTCAATGAATGTTAAATCTGAAAAGTTTGTGCAAAGTTTCAGATCGAGCACTTTCATTTGATGTATAATTTTTCTCTGTACGACTTGTAGATCGCTGGAAATAAGCGCCTTGTTTCAGAATAATATATAGATTCTTATTTTTCGTCTAAAACTTATTGTAAATATCAATTTCGAGTGAATAATCTTCAGTAGTTACTAAAACATCGCAGCTTTCGTATTTCTGAAAATTACCGTTATATGGGAGGTAGGCGTGGTTATTGTCCGATTCTAAACATTTTCAGCCATTTGGTATGCTGTATTAAGGCCACCAACTGTGCCAAGTTTGGAAGAAATTGGTGCAGCGGTTACCAAGATATACACATGTAACCATAAGTGGGCGTGGCTACGCCCATTTTCCAAAAATTTATAATATTCTTATTTTTCGTCTAAAACTTATTGTAAATATCAATTTTGAGTGAATAATCTCCAGTAGTTACTAAAATATCGCAGTTTTCGTATTTCTGAAAATTACCGTTATATGGGAGGTAGGCGTGGTTATTGTCCGATTCTAAACATTTTCAGCCATTTGGTATGCTGTATGAAGGCCAACAACTGTGCCAAGTTTGGAAGAAATTGGTGCAGCGGTTACCAAGATATACACATGTAACCATAAGTGGGCGTGGCTACGCCCATTTTCCAAAAATTTATAATATTCTTATTTTTCGTCAAGAACTTATTGTAAATATTTCAAGTGCGCTCGGGTATAAAAATTCTAAAATTAAACTATCATGATTTTAAATATTTTTCCCGAGTGGTCAAAGAAAATTTACAATATATTGTAATTGTATATTGTATATTGTATTAGAGTGGATTTTGTAGTGGGTTTTCAAGAGTTTGTTTGCCTTTGTTGCTGTAAAGGGTAGTTTTTTCATTTCGTGATCTACTGAAGGCAGAAAAACCGGGAAGGTTTATTAAAACGGGTAATTTGTATTTTATATTGTAATTGTATCTCTTGAAAATACATTGAATACATCGTTGTTAAAATGCACCATGGCCCTATCATACATCTATCTACAGGAGCAACAAAAAAGCTAAATATGAACGCCAGGTAATTCTACGGAGAAAGATTTTTTAAACGTTCCTTAGATTGTAAGTTTTTGAGTTACGGCTCTAAGACTAAGGAAAACGGGTTTTGATAAAACCCACTTAAGGAGTAAAAACGCATTTCGAACAAAATTTTAGTTAGGGCTTTTCTACATTTCATAAACGATTTTTTTGTATGCACACATGCATTCACATCTTTTTGAAAACAACTTAAATTATTTCAGATAAACTGCCATTTGAAATTGTTCTAAATTTCATTATAATCATTCTCTTCTTATGGAGAAAATTTAAAATTTTTAATGAAAATCTTAATTAAAGATGCTTAAAAGGATATAAAATATTCATTCCAACATATCTGACGTAAAATCATTTATTTTTTACATAACTAAGTTCATTTTCAATGATATAAAAGTTTTATTGCGTCAAACTTAGTGAAGCAAGCAGGTCTTTTCAGCAGCAGTCCAATTAACTTCACGAATTCTTTTAACTTCCTATAAAAATTAAATTTTTTACGTTAATAAATTATATTTTACAAAATTTTTTTATTTACTTACATTTTGCTGCGCCATTTTCAAAATTATTTGTAAAAGTCAGTTTCCCTAGCCTGCTCTAAACTTAAAGATTAATTTTAACTAGAAGAGGTTTTAACTTTCGACTATAACTACGGGCCATTGGGTGCAAGATTACAATTGGTGTAATATAACGCTTTAACTGGGTTAGTATGACCGCGGATGCCGTAGGGCTAAGCAGAATCGTCGCAGGGTGGTCTTAGAGTGGCAGAAAATCGTAATTTCGAAATCCTACTAAGTGGTTGACTCGATTCTAAACATGTCTACTAACAGGTTTTAAGGATTTTTTCCTAAGAAAACCCACTCTCGCAATTGTCAAAGGACACAGGAAGTCGGTATTGTATGAATAGAATTTTTACGTACGAATTCGAATACATATTCTACCGGTTCAGAGACGGTTGAATGAGCGATTGAAACTGGATTTATCTTCATCATTTGATAGTATGCAAGGGTAGAAGATCTCTATAAAAGGTGCAGCAAAAGATAGTAAACGTATCTCGATTTTTATTAAGAGAAGAAAAGGTATGGAGTCAGGTAAAAATTTGCTTACTTCCACGCCCACTACACAAGGGGGCGGATAAGGTAAATGTTATCAGATTTCAATGAAACTCGGTTTGGAACTTGGATTAAGCTAGAAAGACTTACATATATAAATCTAGAATATGGTGAAAATCGGTCAACTGCCGCGCCCACCGGCTATCAGAATTTTATATTCTAATGTTGCAAGGACTAGTAACGATCCTCCAAAATAGCGAAAATTTAATAGGTTAATCTAAGTTACAAATCTAATTTCATTAAAATCGGATAAAGTTTACCATATTCGCCCCCTAGTGTAGTGGGTGTGGCAGTCCGCTAAATTTAACAATTTTTCATATTTATTCATTCCTAGGCAAACGCAATCCACGTTACAATTTTCAGCAAAATCAGAGAACATTTACAACTTTTTGGCACATTTTATGTGGAGCTCCTCCACGTTGCATCGTCGCAATGTGTTTACTCCACGTAAGCCTCTTATCCAAATGGATACCAAGATACTTAGTGTTGTCTTGTTGCCGAACAACTTGATTGTTTATTTTGATAGGAGGGCATATGTTTCTGTTTAGAGTGAAAGTTGTATGTACATTTGGTTTCATTCACTTTTATTATCCATTTTTATAGCCACAGATTATGTGCTCTTATATAATCGCGGAAGCTAAGATAGCATTTTCATGAGTACATAAAATTGCGGACGTTGAAATTGTTGTCTGATAAGAGGTTGGCATGAGATTTGAGGTATTTTTGCTTTACCGCAAATTCCCCCTTTGAGAGGAAGTTTTTCAATAACAGATGTGTTCTTTAAAAGAACTTCTTTCTGGTAACAGTGTGGTTATACTTTGAATAAATTTGAAGCTCCATAGCAGGTTTTTCATGAATTGAGGCATGAGCCGCTCAAGCCTGAAAATTGATTTAAAGCGATTGTATAGAAGACTAGATCGCCCTCACCCGCTTCGCTGAGTGTATGAAATTTCTGGTTAATGAGGTTTAGATTTTGTTTAACCATCTTCAAAATAATTTCAAACTACATAAAACTTTCTTTCTAACTTATCATACTTTTTCAATTAACATATCCCCTGAACTCAATTTGAGATTTTAAATAGATGGAAACCCCTTACATGTAGTTTTAAAATGAAGCCATTGTAAAACCATTCGATCGAAACCCATATTGTAATAATTCATTTAAATTATTGAATAGTTTGAATTTAACCTTTTAAACAGTTGGAAATCTTTTTAAACCTGTTTCGTGTGATACTCATATATATTCTGATACATATTCAAAACCATTTCGATTCATACCAATCTATAATCTATGATAATTATATTTTGAAAGCCGGTTTTTTTGTGTCCGCAAAGCTCGCGACCGGCCAAACCGATTTTTTTGAAATTCCGGACACCTGCTTCATACGTCCCACTGATGGTTATAGGCTGAAGAAATTCGCCTTTTTTTATTTTAATTTGGCGTGGTACCTCCCATACAAAGTCTATGTATACATATTAGATTTCTGTAGAACAATTATACGTATCCATTTTGAAATTGTCACCAACTATACTATAAAGTTTCTGGGGCAGATTCACTATAGAACCGGTTCATTGTTGTCGCCAGGGAGTGAAGAGGAAATGTTCTTCAAATTTATTTCGTTGTGAGATTAACCGTTTTATGAAATGCTGCACAATTAGAGGATTTCAAGAACTTCTTCACGGACATAACACTTTCGTTAGATTCTTTAAGGCGCCTAACGACCACCAAACCATAATCTTAGCCGATGGGCGTGCCAATTGAAATCGTAAACGTGAATTGTTGGACCAAAGTGTTTCAATGATAAAATTAATTTTGGGCGGGACGAAGTATGCCGGGTCTGCTAGTATTATAATATTTCATTTAAACTAATTGAATTTTATTAAAAAAATGTGCGTATAATTAATTTAAATTTGACTTTTCAAAAAGGTGCCAACCCTTTTCAAGATATATTCAAACTACAGCTTTTCTAATCCTCTTGACATTCTTTTTCAATATAATTTTGAAAAAAATAACTCCCTTCATTGAAGTTGAATTAGATTTTTTTAAAAGGTGGCAGCCCTCTTCCATGAGTAGATAATGATTTTATATATCTCCATACCAAGTTCCAGTAATCTACCAAAAATACTTCCTGAGGAATACAGTATGAAAAAAATCCGTTTGTATAGGAGGTGCCACGCCCCCTTGTCTAATCGAGATTAAATGTATCCTATATTTTAAATTGGGCTAAATGACAGTAGTGTACAAAATTTCATAATGATCGGTTGAGTAGTTTAAGCGTGAAAGCGTAGCAAACAAACAAACTCACTTTCTGATTTATAATATTAGTAAGGATGCTCCACAACCGAAGTCTGAAAGGGCTGAAAAATGCCAAATTTCGAACTTTTTTCAGGCGTCGTTTGAGAGTTACTGATTCGAACATTAATACTGGTGAATATAATAATAATAATGATGTAATCGATAACACTTACAATATTTCAAAAGAATTTTACACAAAATTTAGGCAATAAGATACAAGGAAAAATTATTTACAGCCAATTTCACGAAAGCAATTTAAGTGAAAAATTATTTTAATTTTTTAAATTTTATATGGAAATTGACAGAAAAAAATATTTTCCATTTAAATTGCTGGTGAAACCCAAGGCATATTCAACAAGGTAGAAGTGACAAATCTCTCGAGCTCTCTCATAGCTGACTGTAATGTCAAAAAATGTAAACAAAGAAATTAACCCTTTGTTATGCATTTACCATATTTGATGAAACTCAACGGCCCGTAGATATAGTCAAAATAAAGTCGACTCCTAAAGTTAAAAGCAGCTTTTTGACATAATTTCCAATGGGATAGCTGTCAAAAAAAATGGCTANAGTATTATAATATTTCATTTAAACTAATTGAATTTTATTAAAAAAATGTGCGTATAATTAATTTAAATTTGACTTTTCAAAAAGGTGCCAACCCTTTTCAAGATATATTCAAACTACAGCTTTTCTAATCCTCTTGACATTCTTTTTCAATATAATTTTGAAAAAAATAACTCCCTTCATTGAAGTTGAATTAGATTTTTTTAAAAGGTGGCAGCCCTCTTCCATGAGTAGATAATGATTTTATATATCTCCATACCAAGTTCCAGTAATCTACCAAAAATACTTCCTGAGGAATACAGTATGAAAAAAATCCGTTTGTATAGGAGGTGCCACGCCCCCTTGTCTAATCGAGATTAAATGTATCCTATATTTTAAATTGGGCTAAATGACAGTAGTGTACAAAATTTCATAATGATCGGTTGAGTAGTTTAAGCGTGAAAGCGTAGCAAACAAACAAACTCACTTTCTGATTTATAATATTAGTAAGGATGCTCCACAACCGAAGTCTGAAAGGGCTGAAAAATGCCAAATTTCGAACTTTTTTCAGGCGTCGTTTGAGAGTTACTGATTCGAACATTAATACTGGTGAATATAATAATAATAATGATGTAATCGATAACACTTACAATATTTCAAAAGAATTTTACACAAAATTTAGGCAATAAGATACAAGGAAAAATTATTTACAGCCAATTTCACGAAAGCAATTTAAGTGAAAAATTATTTTAATTTTTTAAATTTTATATGGAAATTGACAGAAAAAAATATTTTCCATTTAAATTGCTGGTGAAACCCAAGGCATATTCAACAAGGTAGAAGTGACAAATCTCTCGAGCTCTCTCATAGCTGACTGTAATGTCAAAAAATGTAAACAAAGAAATTAACCCTTTGTTATGCATTTACCATATTTGATGAAAC